TCCCCCAAGAGCAGAGAAACTTCCAGGAGATCCCACTGATCCTGAATGGATTTTAGAAACATGGGGGGACAAGATATCTGTAGGTTTTTCATGACCAGTTACAGAAACAGTGGGTCAGAACTCTATCCAGAGTCCTGATCGGCCGTCTGTGGTTTCACCAGTTCAATTTTTCCGGTGACATAGGCCTTTTGTAAAAGAGAATAGAAGGAATTTGGATTAAACACCCCTACCATAGGAGTGGTCTCTGCCTGAATGTCTTCCTCGTCTAACCACATGCCTTCCTCCGGAATCTGTGCGAAATAATCCGATATCTCGCTCCCTTCAGATTGAGGTGGAGAACCGTGATCTGAGATCACATACTCCCTGGGATGCATAGTTTCTGTGGACGTAGGGGGGGGTTTGATGGTCCTTGGACCAGAATGGCCCTCCCTGAAGCCACCATCACCTGAGCCATCACCTGTGAGATCATGGCTTGGAGCTGGACAGTAAATGAAGGATGTTCGGGGCCCGAAGACCAGCCACTGTCGGCGTGAAAGATGCTGATGGGATTAGGGGAGGGACGACTGTAGTAACCTCCCCGAGACCCACAAGACACTGAGGAAGGTCCTGGCTCAGCAGCTGGAATTGAATCTTGGACCTGTAATCTCAATTCTCGGTCAAAGAGGGACAGATGGTCCCATTCATATCCCAGCAAAGAACCCTGGTCCAGGGTCTGCTCGGAAGACCAAGCCCGTGTAAAAGGGGAAGGCCGATGCTCCCCTGATGTGGATGCAAGAGGAGGGAGGGGATAAGCTGCGTCTCTCCTGCCTGTCGCTGGGCTTTGGAGAATTGTCACTCCAGCGCCCTATGTCTGCTATCTGCTTGCTTGTCATCGGCCTTAGAGGTCCGTTTGACCTTGGCCTTGAGTTTTGCAGGTTTATCCTGACTGGATGGCTTGCGTTTTACATTTCCACTGGAGGTGGAAGCCTGTGAAACGGTGTTATCCGCCATATTGAAACAAGCAACAGGAAAAAAAAAACAGGTGTTCACCAGGAGATCCCTGGATTGGGCCTATTCTGCAGTAGAAGGCAGGTTTTCACCAGAAGATCCCTGGATCAGTCCTTTTTTGCAGTAGAAGGGCAGGTTTTCACCAGGAGATCCCTGGATCGGCCCTGGTCTGCAAGAGAAAGGAAGGCCACGACCCACCTGGGTGGTACAGGCCTACACGAGGGTCTGTGAGGTCCGGCCCGCCGTTAAGCATGCGATATAAGCCGCGCTGCACTCAGGGGCTGTCCTCCCCATTCAATTTTTCAGGCTCATTGTAATAGTGAGACAATTTGGCCAATAAAATATCAAATGTCAATTAATGATAGGTCTATATATGAATATAGATATATATCTTGTTTATTTTAATTTTATTTTATTTTAATTAATTTTTTTTTACCCTTGTGTCTCATTTAGTGACAGCTGGGACAGTAACTACTGACCACAAGATGCAGACAGCGGAAAACAGGCGAAGCAAGCAGCAGTCCAATCTGTTGGCACTGGATATTTGAAAGGTACTGGTAAGTCACACAGTCTGGAATATTACCAGATAAAAGGAATGAGAGACTCAAGGTATTTTCCCTATGTCCACTAGGTAACCTAAGATGGTGCCTATTAAGCAGCTGAGGCATGAGGTAATGAAGATCTAAAAGAGTGTAATTAGAACTCCTATTCCCCCTCCCACATAGGGAGATTCACCAAATAAGTAAGTTGCTTTGTGACTGAGAAGGCTGTAATTAGGTCAAAGCAGTCAATTTAATGTGTGCGATCGGGCGGAGCCCAAAATGGCGGCCGTGACGATCTAATGAGAGAGAAAACAAGCTGAGAGAAAAGATCCTCTTCTGCAAGTAATCTGGTAATAAGTTCTTTTAGTCAAACAGTTCACCTGTGGGTTTTTTTGGGTAATTTACAGCTGACAATTAACAGTAACAAGGAAGTACTTGAGTAATGTGAGGATCGAGCCTTCTAGAGGCTCAAAATGGTGCCTGCAGGTTGTTTGAATAGGTAATGAACCCAGGAAAGTGAATTCAGAGTTTTCAGCAAAAAAACTAGTAGTTTAAAGCTTCCCATTCACAGCGAAGATCCTGGGAGGAGGTGGGGAGGTGGATTGTAATGAGGAGGCAGCGATCGCGACGATCAGCTGTCTGCCTCTGAAAAACTCAACGGAGAAGGGAATTGATTAAAGAGAGAAGAAATGGTGCAGCACTGAGCCCAGAGCTGAACCAATCTCCCCCCAAAGAAGGAAAATAAAAAAAAGGGTAGAGAATCCACGAATGGCAATAACTACCTTTCTGAATCTAAATTGGGAGCCAATTCTCATGTCTCTTCAGGGCTGAGACCAAACAAAACTGGGGCATGGTCAGACCCTGCAGAGGCGTGGCAACTTTGATTGTTTGGTCTGATTGGGCTAGAAGACTAAATCAACCCATTAGTGGATTCTACATTCCTCTACATGCTGGAGAAAGAGGGATTCTTCAGGAGATTGGTTTTGGTGGCGATCAATCCAAGCGTACTGAATTGCCCCCTCTAAAGGGGCAGAAGAAAGGTTGCCGGGAAAGCCTGAGGCAACCCAAGTTGTCTTCAGCCGGAAGGGAAGCTATGAAAAACAGCTGATCTCCAACAAGAAGTTATGCCTGGGTGAGCTGAAATTTCTTCCTACTCCTTGTGCTTTAAAATATTGAGACCCTGAAAGGGAGAACTTGAAAGAGTAAAGACCCCCAGAGAGACTTTTGGAGTGGCAATTTAACATTAAGGGAAAATGGTAAATGAATAACACAACTATGGACTAAGGAGTGAGCATAGTTGATAAATAAGCCAACAAGGACATCTACTGGCAAAAAATAAGAATTAAAGAATTAAAAACACAGTGACCTCGGAAAGCTTGAGTAAAACGAAGTTGGGAAATTAAAATCTAAACAAGAATTGGAAAATTTAGGAATAGATTTGTCCTGGTGGGCACATTTGCAGATATAAAGTAGATATGAAAAAGATGTAAAAATGTATGGATTTTACAAAAATCAAAATGTGTTTGATAAGATTTTGTTAACCTCAGATGAGAAATTAATTAAGAAAATGTATAATTTTTTGTTAATTTTAGATATGGAAAGTGAACGTGAAAGAAACAATGATAAGATGGGCAAAAAATTTTGTTTATGATATAGAATTAGAAAAATGGCAAATGTTATGGGAGAGAAACTATAAATTAACAATGTCAACTTCATACAAAGAAAATTTGTATAAAATGTTTTATAGATGGCACCTTCCACCAGCAAGATTAGCAAAAATGTTTAAAAATATGTCAGATAGATGTTGGAAATGTAAACATAATATAGGCACGTATTATCATATTTGGTGGACATATGGGAAGGCAAAGGCCTATTGGAAAAGCATACATATGTAGTTAGAAAAAATATTGGGCGAACAAGTGGATTTTAAACCTGAACTTTTTTTATTAGGCATTATGTCTGAAAAGATTAATGAGCAGAAATTATATTTAATTCTACATATTACCACAGCAGCAAGAATAATTTTTGCACAGTACTGGAAAAATGAAGATTGCCATCAGAAGAAGAAATAATCACGAAAATATTGGAATGTGCAGAGATGGACAGACTAACTATGAGGCTGAACGACAAAGAAGATACGGACTATTATAAAATTTGGAATTTATTTTATTTTTGGTTAGAGAAAAGAATGAAGGATTAGGAAGTGAACATGTATTAGCTTAGCAAACACCAGACAACTTGTTTGATTGGAAAAATTAACATATGTTAATGGAAAAAAATTAATAAAAAAGATTGTTGCAAGATAAAATTATTACAGGATGCAAAGGAAAGAGGAGGGCTCGGCCTCCCGAATTGGGAAAAATATTATCAGGCAGCAATATCGATATGGATAAAGGATTGGATACACTTAAGGAAGAGAAGACTACTGGCATTAGAAGGCCATAACATGCAAATAGGGTGGCATGCTATAATGTGGGATGGGAAATATAAGGCTCATCAGTACTTTCAGAATCACCATATTAGATGAGCACTATTAGATGTGTGGATAAAAATTAAAAAAAATAATTATATAAAAATTCCCAATTAGCTATCCATATTAGAGATATTCATGCACCCCAAATTCATAAATTTAGGAAGAGTAATTACATATAAAGATATCTTAGACGAGAATGGGAACCTGAAAACAAGGAAAAGATTATCAGAAGATGGAATAGAGCTGGAATGATGGGCATACTTACAAATACAATCGCGATACAGAAAAGACAAAAAAGAACCAGGGATAAAATTAGAGCATACACAATTAGATAAAATCCTTCTAGGAACAGAAGATCAAATTATAAAAAAGATATATCAATATTTATTAGAACAAGATTTGTTAGAAGAACAAATAAAAGAAACAATGTTAATCTGGAATAAAAATTTTGGTTACAGTATTGACCTAGATAATTGGCAATCATTATGGGACAGAAACAGAAGGATAACACTAGCCACCTCCTACAAAGAAAATTTATACAAGATGTTTTATAGATGGCACCTTCCCTCTACAAGACTAGCAAAAATAGAAATGTAGAAGGCTTCCAGGGACTTACTATCACATGTGGTGGGAATGTTCAAAGGGGCAAAGTTTTTGGAATCGGATAAAAAATTGGCTGGAAGAAATACTATTACAAAAAATTGATTTAAAACCAGAAATCTTCTTATTAGGGATTTTTAATGATAAACTCAGCAAAGCATCTTTTTACTTACATTGTATATTTTAACCACAGCAAGATTGGCATACGCCCAAAAATGGAAAGGAAAGGAAACCCCCACTGAGGAAGAAATAATAAATAAAATTTTATCCTGCGCCGAAATGGACAGGTTAACTCTAGAGATTATCTGCACAAAGTTGGATTGGTGTTGCCATCTCAAAGACAGTATTTAGTTACCTACCCAATCAAACTATAAATCACAATACAAAAAATGAATAACCTGCAAAAGGTAAGGGCAGCAATTGAATTATCCAGAAATTAAACCAAATCTGGACTATTACAATGCTCCATATGAGCAGAACAAAGTAGATGTCACTGGCTTTCTTCTTTTTAGAAAATGTTGCAATCTCAGGTCTCTGTCCGCTCTTCTCATTGGATGATGCTGATATGGAACCATCACTTTCTATAATTTCTAAAAAAAAAATAATTACAACAATAAGTATTTATTATTGGATTAGCAAGCTTACCTTGAAGAAGTTCAGAAGAGTATCACTGAACATAAAACATTTCTATTGTTATAACAGAGAATCAGCTTTGTTACAGGTAGTCCTCAACTTATGACCCAATTAGATTGGAACATGATGTAATTATTAACAGAATGATACCCAATTTTGTGACATTTTTTGCTGTCATGAAATGAATCACACAATCATTAAGCAAATCTGGCTTTCCCATTGACTTTGCTGGTTGGAAGGTCCCTGGAAGATTGCAAATGGTGATCATATAATCTGGGAAGCTGTAAATACCTGCCAGTTGCCAAGTGTCTGATTTTTTATCTCATGACCGCAGCAACACTGCAATGATCATAGGCACAAGGACAGTTGTTAGTCACTTTTTTTAATTTTGAATGGTCATAAAATGAATGGTTGTAAATCAAGGGCTACTTGTAATAGTTCAGGCAACAGGATAGAAACCAGAAGACCATGAATTCTAATCCCGCATTAGGTACAAACTCAACTGGGTGACCTTGGACCAATCACTCTGTTCTGCCCTAGGAAGCAGGCAATGATAAGCTACTTCTGAAAAAACTGCTGGGAGAGAGGAGTTTATTTTCTTAGACCAGTGGTGGCGAACCTATGGCATGCGTGCCAGAGGCGCCACTCACAGCCCTCTCTGTGGGCATGCAGATGGCAACTGTCCCTCTTCAACCAGCCGCCCACTAACTCGCCGAGGTCCCACATGGCCGAATGCATCCCAGCACCCATGCACTCACTGGCCTCTGTGTGCAGGGGCCGATGGTGTCAGGCAGCAGCCGCCCTGGCCCCTGCCTCACCTTTCCTATGACAATGGCACCCCTGCCCTGCCTTGCCTTGCCTCACCCTGCAGGATGAGCCTCCTGCCCACAGCCCCACCAGCCAGAGACCCCCTGGATCTCCCCCAACCCTGCCCAGCCCCCACAGACGTCCCTCCCCATGAGCAACATCGAGGTGATCATGCTCACCTTGACCACTCCCACCCAATCTGCCATGACCACTGCAGCCACGCCCACCCAGTGGGCCATGCCCACTTGCACCCAGCGATAAATAAGTGGGTTTGGGCACTCGGACTCTAAAAGGTTCACCATCTCTGTCTTAGACCTTTTGTGAGGTAAAAGTTTTTCTAGCCATTTCCCTAGATGCATCAAAGACTGTGAAGAAGAAAAGAGTCACAAAATCCAGCAAGAAAGAAAAAAATTGAAAATATGAAAAAAGCAGAAACTAAATAAAAGACAACCTAGCTCCAGGTCCAGATAGCCTTACAAGCTACTATTATAAATGCTTTGAAGATCAATTGCTTCAGCTATTAAAGCTGAAGTCCCCAATTCCCAGTCCATGGATCAGCATTGGTCCATGGCATGCCAGAAACTAAGCCACGCAAACAAGTGAAGCCTCATCCGTGGGATGCAGTCAGCACGTGAAACCATGCTCCCTCTGGTCCACGGAAAAACCTTACTCCATGGAATCGGTCTCAGGTGCCCAAAAGGCTGGTGCGCGCTGCACTAAAGGATGCAGTGAATGGAGTATTATAGGGAGCAAAGATGCCTCAAACCTGGAAACTAATATTGCATTTTTACCAAAAGAGGGTCAAGATGTCTTGAGAATAAAAAAATTTCATTAAACCAATTTCATTATTAAATAATGTATAATTTTTTGTGAAATTTTAGCAGAAAGATTGAAGAATACTTTACAGACATATATTCATGAAAATCAATCTCGCATTTTGCCAAAAAGACAGTTAAGAGCCAATGTGAGGACTGTTTTGAACAGTACTGAACACATACAATATCATAATGAGAAATAGGCAGCTTTTGGATATTATTTTTGGATGCAGAAAAGGCCTTTGAGAACCTAAATTGGGTTTTTATGTTCAAAATTTTGAAAGACATGGATTTTGGGGAAAAATTTATTCAAGGGATCAAAGCAGTGTTATACATCACAGCAAGCAAAGATTATTATTTAACTATTCATGTGAAATTCAAAAGGGTACGAGACAAGGATGCCCCTTATCTTCCCTACTGGTAATATTGGTTTTGGAGGTTTAAATAGGGTTATTAGGCAAGATTAGAAAATAACAGGTATAAATATCAAAAAGAAAGTTTATAAATTGAGAGCATTTTAGTTGATAATTTAGTTATATTTTTGCAATAATTGAAAACTAATATAGAATATTTGATCAATGAGTTTGGAGCTTTAGCAGGCTTTAAAATAAATAAACAGAAAATGGAATATGTTAAAAATATGATCTCTGAGGATTTTGAAATACTGACTAAAAGGGGCGTTGTCTTACCTGAACGCCTTTTCTCAGCATGAAGATGGAGAATCCATGAATGGGTTAACTCTGTCTTCCTGCCCAATTAAACCAAGTCAGTCAAACTTGCCACGCCTGTCCTGGACCAGGACCCTCCCAATCTCAACGGGGGCAAAGCTATTGACGACAGTCCGACGTGCTGACTCCCAGACCCGACACTGGACCTGACGGATCCTAAGGGGTGGGTGTGGATTCTCCATCTTCATGCTGAGAAAAGGTGTTCAGGTAAGACAATGCCCCTTCTCCAGCATGAGAGATGAAGAATCCACGAATGGGATATACCAAAGCCACACTGTCCCTACGGGAGCGAATCAGTGTCCCACCCTTTGGCACTACTTGCTGTAGCACTCTCCGGCCAAAGGAGGCGCCTGCAGAGGCAAACTTGTCCAGTTTATAATGCCTCACAAAAGGGGAAGGTGACGACCACATCGCTGTCCTACAAATGTCCTCGATGGACGCCTGTGTCGCCCATGCAGCTGAGGTCATGGCACTACAAGTGAAATACGCAGTGACATGACTTGGAACTGACAGGGAATGCGACTGATATATCCCCGCAATCAAGCCCTGATCCATCTGCCTATGGTAGAGGCAGACACTTTCTGTCCCATAGGTTGGGAGGAAACAAAGAGGGCTTCCAACTTGCGAAAGGCCACCGTCCGCTTGATGTAACAGCATAATGCCCTGCAGACATCCAGTGCGTGCCATTGACATTCCAAGTCATGAGATGGATTAGGGCAAAAATCTGGCAGTACAATTTCCTGAGTCCTGTGAAACAAGGTGTTGACCTTGGGAATAAAGGTAGGATCCAAACAAAGGACCACTCAGTCCTGATAAAAGATGCACAGGTCATCTCTGATAGAGAGAGCTGCCAGTTCAGAAATCCGCCTAGCTGACATAACAGCTATCAGGAAGGCGACCTTGAGAGACAAGGACCACAGAGTACAGGTTCTGATAGGCTCAAATGGCGGTGTGGTGAGGGCCTGTAAGACCATAGCAACTCCCATGGATAGACTGGAGTGTTTGCATCTTGAATTTTCTGTATGCAATATGGGAATTCAGACCCTTCAGGTCGAGTATTGCCCTCCATCCTCCCGAGGCCTTGGGAACCACAAAGAGGATGGAATAAAATCCTCTTTCCAGTTGACCAGCCGGAATTGATTCTATGGCTCTTATCTCCAAGAGATGTCGAATGGCTCTTATATGAAGCCCTTCTTGATCGGATTTTTTAACGGCAGGCAAGAAATGAAGCGCTCTGGTGGGGTGATATGAATTCCAGGGACAGACCATACCGAATGGTATTGACAATCCAGGAGTCTGTGGTGGTAGCTTTCTACTGGTGGGCAAAAAGAGCCAGTCTGCCACCTATGAGAGGCGCTTCCCAGGAGTTACTTGGACCTTTTGAAGGGGCGACCTCCCATACCCTGAAAGGGCCGTTTGCCCTGGTACTGCTGCCTAGGTCTGGTGCCTGATCTCTCAGATGTGCAGTCCTGCCTGGTCATGAAGGAACGGAGGGGCTGTGCAGGACCTGAGCCTGCCTGACCGAAAGGACTGCCTGCGGGCATATGGATTGGCACGTCTGTCCGCCCGTCTGCTGAGCTGAGCCATCACCTTTCTTTTATCCTTATTCTCAATCAAATAAGGTGCCAGGGCCTCCCCAAACAGCTGGCCCCCTTCATACTGGGCCGCCGCCAAACGCCACTTAGATTTGGCATCAGCTTGCCAATGTTTGAGCCACAATAGCCGTTGTGCTATAACATTGGAGGCTATGGCTCTGGAAGAAAATCTGGCGGTGTGTAATGACGCATCAGCTATATACTCCGAGGCTGCAACCAATTTGCTCAAGTCTTGGTGTGTGCGTACCTACTTCGGAGGAATTCTGGCCTGGAGTTGGCGGAGCCAGAGGAGAGAGGTTCTGGCAAAGAAGGATGAGCAAGTAGCCACTCTTACCGCCCATGCCACTGCCTGGTGTGTCCTGCGGAAGTCAATTCTGATCTCTTATCCTCAGCCTTCAACGTCTTGGCCATATCCCCCGACACCATAGATGCAGACAGTAGAGGGGTCAAGGGTTCATCCACCGCTGGCACCTCAAGAGTGTCAGCCAAAGCTGGTGCTGTGCTAAACAGTTTCCTGTCCGTTCCCCCCAAGGAGGGAAAGGTGCCAGGTGAAGCCCATTGCTTCCAAATGGCGTTCAAGAATAAAAGGGGACAGGAAACGTGGTGCTGAGTCATAACCGGCTCAGAAAACACTGGATTTGGATCGGAACGGATGGAAGGGCTAGGTTGAGGAATTTGATCAGGACTTATGTTGGCCGTGATGCTGGCCTTGCACAGCAGTGGTAAGAAAAGGGCTGGGTTGAAGAGGCTCCCAAATGGCGGAGGGTCCGGAGAGGACTCCTCCTCCTCCGACAATGGTATGTCCATTTGGTCCTACTCCGCAGGGGATAATGCCCTGCTATGGGAGGACGGGGATGGTGAGGCAGAGCCATGGTATTCGGGTGCTCCGAACTGGGGAACATATGATGGAGTCATGGAGGCAACCGACTCGGATCTGGACCTATGGTTAAGACCTGGAGGCAAAGGCCTGGTCGACAGCCTGAGAGATCAATGCCTGAAGTTGTGCAGTGGAAAATGCTCCTTGGGGCTCTGTCGCCCTGAGCCCAGCTGCTGTGGGCGTGAAGGTAGCCTTTGGACCTGACTGCACAGCCCGAGGTACCGAGGGTGCCTGTTGGACATTTGGTTCCTCGCTGCGAGGAAAAAAATGTTCCTGATCCTCCCTGGAAGGAGGAAAGTGGCCAGGGATCCCCACCGGAGACCAAATTCCCTGAGTAGAGGTGGAGGACCCAGGGGAAGGTCAAAGACCAAGTCCCCTGCATGCTCCGATTCCATTATGGCCTGCCTCTGTGCTTTGGAGAATTCTTTCTCCAGGACCTGATGCCTCCTACTAGCCTGTTTCTCCACCAGATTGGAAGGTTTCCTTCCCGCGATGGATCTTGCCAGCACCTCCTGCTTCGAGGGCTTATGCCTTTTTTGGCTAGTAGATGCAGAGGTGGTGCCTTGTGAAGGCTGGGGCACCGTATTGTCAGCCATCCTAAGGTGAGATATCTCAGTGTTATGCTGAGAGGGATCTCAATCAGTTGGGAGCAAAGTACTGGTTGTAGCTGTGAGCCACGCACTGGATCAGACCAGTACTGTTGGCAGTGGTGAATGCCGGACCAGCTTAATGGAGCCTGGCACACCTGCTGTGCTCTTCTCCTGATGGCTACCAGGCCGATAGGTGCACAGGTAGCACATGGTCGGCTCTAAGGCTGCGGCAAGATCACGGTGTGATAACAGCCAGCTTGCTCGTAGAACGCTTAGTGGCGACAAAGCCAAGAAAGGTGACAGCCAGCACACTAGCGCGATAAATCAGGTCTACGGTGGTGGCAAAATCACAACCATGATGACAGTCAGCACATGTGTAGACCACTTAGCGGCAGCAGACCAGTGGGTGGTGACAGCCAGCATGCTACGTCAAAGGTAAATGAGGTACCAGTTGAGGCCTATCTTGCTTTTGGTTTTGTGGGAGGCTGGTCTGTTGGGAAGCCTCGCGTTAGCCTGGAATTGATGCACCAGTTAAGGCCTATCTTGCTTTTGATTTTGTGGGAGGTTGGCCTATTGTGAAACCTCACGTTGGCCTGGAATTCCAGGTTAGGCCTGCTCAAGGGCATTTGTTGGCCTGCAGGCCACCAATCCAGTAGGTGAATGGATGGGCTGATTGACCGTTCGCTCTCTATGGGTTGGCCGCTCGAACTGGGCCCAGGAGGTAAATTCCGCTGTGTCGCTGGTGTGGTTACCCCCCATCCTCCCTCCTTCTGGAGGGATCGGCTCCTGGCTGTTAAGGCCGTTCAAAATGGTGACCGCAGTTGCCACAGCCTCCACAAGGCCGGAGCCAGAAGAAAGCAAGATGGATCGACCTGTGTCTTACTTGAAAATGGTTGTCCGCCAATTGCCAGCTGAAACGGGAGCTGTGAGCACTAATTTAATAAATAAACGGTCCAGCGGCAGTGGCAAGACAGCTCACCACACGGCATCCAAAATGGCAGCCGCAATGAAAACGGGACGCTAAAACTAGAAGCAGAGGCCTCCACGATGAATGGGGAGCTCGGAGGAAGTCCCCAGAATCTTCAGGAGGCAATCCAGAACAGCGCTGACCCCAGCGCTGTTGAGATGGCCATAGAAATGATTGGCTGTGCTAATTTTGGAAGCGGAAGCCTCTGCAATGCACAAGGAGCTTTGGGGAAGTCCTAGGCGTTCAGCCAGGCAACCCAAATCAGCGCTGATCCCAGCACTTATCCCAGCGCTGTAGAGATGGCTGTGGAGAGCGAAAATCCACGAATGGGAATAACTAAATACAACCTGCTGCTAATAGACTGGGAGCCAAATTTGTCACGTCCATCTGGGCTGCAGACCAAGTCGAGACTGGGAGGGTCCTGGTCCAGGGTGGGCGTGGCAAGTTTGACTGATTTGGTCTAATTGGGCAGGAAGACAGAGTTAATCCATTCGTGGATTCTCCATCTCTCATGCTGGAGAAAGTCAAATTCTTTAGCCACTGAAAAGAGATATTAAAACCCAGTCAATTTCCAGTGCTTTGTGTCTATTGAGTCTGGGTTAATCTGGTTATTGGGGGTTTAGGGAAAAAAAATCTGCAACAAGCTCTATAGGCTCTAAACCAGACATGTCAAACTTGCAACATCATGTGGCATCGCGCAATGTATCAGGACAGTTTTGCCATTGCCGGCAATGGGTGGGCGCAGTTTCCATGTGATGCATCCGGCCCGCGGGCTGGCAGTTTGACACCCCTGCTCTAAACTAAAGCAAAAGATGGAGGGTGATAAAAGCTCAGAACTTAAAGCGAAAAGCAAACAGCCAGAATGGGAATTCAAGAATGATGCTGCAATAGAGATGCCAGTAAGAGGTGTTTAAAATTTCAGGTGTTTCTGCACCAGTGCGCATGGAATATTAAAATCATGGAATCATAGGACTGAAGACACCTTGGAGATATTCTAGTCCAGCCTTCTGCTCTGAGACCATAACAAATAAATGGCTCTCCAAACTTTGCTTCAAAAGGCCTACGAATGAAGCATCCAAACTTCAGGAGGCAGGCTGTTTCATTCATAATAGCTGTCATAGTTAGGAAATTATTCCTTATCTCTCTCTGTAAAGCTTCCACCTATCAGTTCTTGATTTACCTTTGGGCACTACACAAAACAAATCCATACCCTCTTCCCTATGACAAACCTTCAAGTATCATGTTTCTTTTTAGCCTTCTCTCCAGGCTAACCATAATCAGTTCTTTTAATAGCTCTTCACAGTATTTATTCTCTAAGCCCCTTGCCATCTTTGTTGCTCTTCTCTGTACTTTTTCTAGTTCCTCAGTAATTTTGTTGTGTGATGGCAACTAAAACTGTATTCCAGGTACAGTCTGACCAATACAAACTAGAGCAAAATTACATTTCCTCTGCTCTTAATATTATATCCTCTGTTGATGCAGCCTAATTTTGCCAATTGCAGCACAATGCAGGCTCTTCCTTAATCTGTGATCTACCAGGATACAAAAACCTTTTCACAAGTATTGCTAAATTACTACTTACCTAGTACCTGAACACAAGATTTTTATACCAAACTACAGAGCCCTACACATCTCATCATTAAATTGCATTTTGTCGGAAAAGACTCAGTGTTCAAATCTATCAGGATGCTTGTTTATCCTGAAGTTGTTTTCTGAGGTATAAGTATTTCCACACCACACACACACCAATCAGCATCCATGCAGACCCCACAAAAACAGTGATTGTGTACTTCCAATGTCAGGAGTACCCGAGTCACTGCCTTTTGAATCAACTGCAGTTTTCAAATACTTTTTAAGGGCAGCACAGATAGAGCAGTGGTAAGGGTTAGTGAGAAAGATAGTGATAAGAGATAAGTGATTAAGTTACTGTTGCCAAATTGTAATGAAAATGACAGATATAAAAATGAGCAGACAACTAACAGTTTTTTCTAGCCTCCCAAATTAGGCAAAACAAACTCAAAATTGAAGAGTATTTTGTAATCTACATTTCAGTGTTTAAAAAATCTTTTAATGCTATTTTAATTTTTCTTAAGGTTTCACCATTAGGGTTGATAAAAAGGTGAATAAAATCCCTTCTGAAGCATATATTACATTCTAACTTCTACCAAATTAGTTTAATTTCAGCAACCCTTTCAAATTCACCAACTTTCAGACTAAGAAAGACAAATGTTGAAATCAAATCAGTGTACAAATCAATATAAGCAAGCACTACAAGCAGGTTAATTAAAATATTTGAATATTTTTAGAGTCATTGGAATTAAAGTCACCTGAGGTTTGTAATGGATGATCCTCATTACTTGATTCATAACACGTAACTGAAATTACCATGGTAACTGCAGATGCTGCAATGGAAATTACTTGACCAACAAGTTGTGCCTCTGAATTAAATAAATATAATAAATGAAAAGGAAACATACAATACATTTTAATTGAATTATCCAGTTTTCACAGTAAAATTATAATCCAAATAATATAGAACATACCTATATGAACAATTTAATAATAGAATGCAGGCAGTCCTTGACTTACGACAGTTCATTTAGTGATTGTTCAAAGTTACAATAGCACTGAAAAAAGGGACTTATAACTGTTTTTCACCCTTACAACCTTTGTAGCATCCCTATGATCATGTGATCAAAATTCAGATGCCTGGCAATTGGTTCATACTTATGACCATTGCTGTGTCCCAAGATCATGTGATTACCTTTTGCGACCTTTTGACAAGCAAAGTCAATGAGGAAACCAGATTCACTTAACCATATTATTAAATTATCAGTTGCAACAATTCACTTAACAACTGTGGCAAGAAAAGTAGTAAAATGAGGCAAAACTCACATAACAAATTTTGCCCTCAATTGTGGTTGTAAGTTAAGGACTACCTGTACATCAAAAAACTTGAAATAGGTTCTAAAAGTCATATACTAAATCCAATTTAGTAAAATGAAGTGATCTCTCCGTTTTGAAAGAATGGCAATACCAGTAACCTTTTGCCCATATTGACAAAAAACATCAAAAGTCTTGCTGGCATGTATTACCTATTACTCATGTACAAACAAAACTATATTTCTCCCATAGTAATGCCCTGGCTGATTCCCCTGTTTCTCCAGTTAAATAATATTATCTACTGGACCTTTAGTGTGCCTTCTAAACAGTAATGCCTACACTCTGGAATTAGATTTCCTCTGAGATCTGGACAGTTCCCATTTCTGATGTTTCAAAGGGTTTTGAAGACCTGGCTCTTCACTCAAGCTTTTGGCAAAGATGAATGAAGGCCCCTTTGCTCTATGCGGGGGTTCAGTAGTACCTTGGTGCTTGTTATTAATTGTTCTGGAAAGTGCAACAAGTACTAAAAATGATGAGTATCAAATAAAGCCCATGAGCCTTTGTTTTAGTCAGGAAGGACTTCCTGTCTGTCCCTTTTCTTATGTCAGTGACTTTCCCAGCAGGGTTGACTTCCTATCCACCCTCTGCAGCCATCCCCCACTTCTTTTTGCAGCTGACTTTCCTGGCTTAGCCAATTTCCTATCCATTCTTCATGGCCATCCCTCTCTTCCTATAGCAATGAGTCAAGTACAAAACAAACAAGAAATACCAGGAAAACATTTTTGCATCAAAATGCATTGAGTGCAAAATCCAACAAGTTTTGAAGCAGCTGAATACCAAGGTACAACTATATTTGTTTTATTCCCCATCAGTTATCACTTCTCCCATTTTCATTGTTTATTTTTGTCTCTGTTATATTTTTTCTAGTTTTTAATTTTTTATCTGTAATCTTCTAGAATCTTTGTGAATTGGGCATTGTATAAATTTAAATAGGCTCACTAAAGAAAATAATTATATTCCATTCTTTTAAAAAGGAATTATTTTTTACCTGGAGGCTCTTTTCCATTTGATTGCTCATGAAGCAAACCTATAGTCATTAAGACAATTATAAGCACAACAATTGGAATTCTCCAAGATCCTGCTGCAGAAGCTGGAAAAAAATATGTATCATTTAATGCACCCATATTTTTCTCAGATAGATATTGTCAAAGATGATGATAATAATACTGTTATCCAAGATATATAATAGAAATAACAGGCTGTTAACTTATGATAAAGCACTTTCCTATGCTTTGGATTAATTTTGAATATTGTAAGATACGTTATATTCAAAATTAATCCAAAATGTAGGAAAATGCTATTTTTAACTTTCTATTTACAGCCAGTTTGGTGTAGTGGGTAAGGCATCAAGCATAAAATTGGAATTTAGTGAGTCTTATAGGCACAAAGCCTGATGGATAACCTTGAATCAGTCACTTTCTCTCAGCCCTAGAGAAACAATATTAATCAATATTAAACCACTTCTGAAAAACCTTGCCAAGAAAACTGCAGCAATTTGCCCAGGAAGGTGCTAGGAGTAAAAAACCTGACTAGATGGCAAAAACATAAAACAAAACAAAACAAAACAAAACCCTTGCCATTTAATATGATGTAGTCCAGGGGTGTCAAACTGCCGACCCACAGGCCGGATGCGTCACACGGAAGCCACGCCCATCCCATTGCCACCAATGGCAAAACAGTGCCGATACATTGCACAACGTCACGTGACGTCGCGAGTTTGACATGTCTGATGTAGTCCATATTATTTTCAGTGGAAGTCAAGAGTACAAAACAAACTAAAAAGTTCTGGTAAATTTTTTTAAAAACAACAATACATAATGGAAAAAGGCAAGTATCAATTTGGGTAAACTACTGCCAAATTTTATGGTTTAAGTTGACAGGAAACAAATATAGATAGCTATACATGAAGGTGGGTAAAATATATTCCCTCAAGTCCCATTTGTTCCACTCCTAAAATTCCCAAAGTAATCAGGCTAAATTTTCATTCTGGTGAATTTTATGGAGCAAAAATTGGTATTCTGAGGTTTTTTTTTTTTTAAGAATTAAGGTATTAATTTCACAGAACTATCGACTCCTTAAAAATGTAAAATTGGGACCTAGTATTTCAGTCTTGCTCTCTCCATAGACATCAAATCCATCTAACTCCCAGGCAGTGTACAAAGTTAAAGTTTGGCCTTGAGACTGAAAAAGGTTATCCATAAATACAAGGATCTATATTTATGTACAAGAAAAAAATGCAGTAATTGTGTTCCCATATTACAACAGACCATTATTTGAATAACCATTCATATATAATGCTGAGTCATGAATTATAGTTTACAAAACACAATGTGTAAGGTGACATATAATGCTAGATCTAAAGTAAAAATTTATCTTAGCATGATATATGAATCCATATATTAAGCTTTATATTTCAGAGGAATGAGGACACTTAGATTTTAGAAATTACAAATATGCAATCAATTCTTATCTCCCTTTCATGCCAAAAACATATTGAAACATGCTAGACAATAATCATCTACTATGACTAACATCCAGCTATCTTTCCTATCTAACTTTCTAGTTTTTAAAAACTACATAAACACCTCATACTATATATGTATGTATTCACTCACCCAAATGAAGTAGCAGAACAATCCAGAGAGGAACTGAGACTGCTTTCAAGTAACGCTCCGTGCTTTGGTTCCATCTGAATAACACAGTCAACAGATAGCCTGCTATCAAGGTCCATATCTGAATATTAAAAAAGGAGATGGAATTTGACAACGTTCAGTATAAATCTCTAACAGACTATTACATTAAGTTCAGTCTATCAGGATTGTGCACTAAAAACCCGCAAGCTAAATTCAGTCAGCGTATTCCTAGGAGTTATATAACTGTTTCATCTTCTTCACTTGAAAAGAAAATGTTTTTCCATTTTAAATTACAGTTAATTAAATAATTTTCTATAATCATAGTTTTGCTTTTGCAGTTTCTCAAATAGATGTTCAGTACTTAATATTTATAAAATCATAGAAATTGAAAGAAAGAGGTGGAAAGAAGAATTGGTAAAAGCTAACAGTGGAGATGTACAATCACAGAATCATAGGCTGGAAGGGACCTTAGAGATCTTCTAGTTCAACCCTTTGCCCAGGGTAGAGGACCTTATTCCATCCTGGACAAATGGTTGTCCTTTTCTTGAAACCCTCCAGTGATGGTGTACCCAAAACTTCCGTAGGCAAGTTGTTCCATTGATTAATTGTTCTCACTATCAGGAAATTTCTCCTTAATTCCAGGTTACCTCTTCTTTTTTTTTATTAAAAAGTTTTACAAAAATTACAAAATATACCCCAAACCCACCCCCCTATCCCCCCTCCCCCACTTCCCAGAGCTGAATACAGGCTAAAAAAATATAATAATCACAATCTAACTAACATTAGCCAACTATGTAGATAAACAAATATAATGCGCTTTAACTCCCTTTTAACACAGAATAAACAATTTGCAAATAAACTTAATCATATAAACAAATTAAAATCCTAATTCATAAACAATACAATATGATAAAAATTCCACTGTACTAGACTATTAATAATAATAATAATAACAACAATAATAATATTCTAAAATTTATTCATAAAATAAATGGAACTTTTAGTCCCATATTTATTCTGAATATAATCTATCCATCTTCTCCAAACTGAAATATATCTTTCTTGTGAGTGATCCTTCAAATAAGCAGAAATCTTAGCCATTTCTGAGGTTACCTCTTCTTCTGATAAGCTTCCATCTGTTGCTTTTTATCCTGCCCTCCACTGCTTTTGGAGAATAAACTGACCTTCTCTTCCCCATGACAGCACTTCAAATATTGGAAGAAACTTATTTAAAAGAAAGAAATCTAGAACACTAAAATTAAAACAGTGAACAACACGAATAACAAACTTTTAAAAAGGCAATAAATTTCTTATTTATTAATTTATTAAATTTATTTGCTGCCCATCTCGTGGTTCAGGTGACTCTTGAGTGGCTTACATCAAGATAAAACCCACAAACATTTAACAATTTTAGAAATAAAAACAGAGTAAGATGACAATAATGAAAACAAACTAAGAAACAAAGTTTGAAAGAGAAGGGTGGGATGCCTATTAATTTATCAACCATTTCCACTCAACAGCTTCTCCTTCAGGACCCCACACCAGCTGGCGTAATCAAGTTTTAAGGACTTTCCTGAAGCTGAAAGATATGGAGCAGATCTTACCTCCTGTAACAAGATATTCCAAAGGGCAGGAACCAAGGCAGAAAAGGCTCTTCTCCTGCTCCCACCAGCCAGAATCCCTTGGCTGTTGGGATTCTTCTGCCAGCATGAGTGGAGTGGGACAATCCCAATGGGGAAAGACAATTCTGCAGATAACCTGGACTCCTACCATAAAAGGTAACAACCAAAACCTTGAATTGCACTCAGAAGTAGATTGGCAAACAATGCAGCTCACGTAAGGGGCATTGTCTTACCTGAACGCCTTTTCTCAGCATGATGATGGAGAATCCACTGATGGGTTTACTTCATCTTGCTGTCCAATAGACTTAAGTCTGACAAGTTGCCACGCCTCCTGCTGGAGTATTATTCCCCAGTTACAATGAAGGCGAAGCAGCAGACTGTAGTCCGATGCGTTGGTTCCAAAAACCCTGAACACAGGTCCTGATAGACACTAAGGGGATGGGTGTGGATTCTCCATCATCATGCTGAAAAAAGGCGTTCAGGTAAGACAATGCCCCTTCTCCAGAATGATTGGATGGAGAATCCACTGGTGGGACATACCAAAGCCACCCTGTCCCTATGGGAGGGAAACAGTCAGGGCCTGCGTCCCACTGGATGACAGTACTTGTTGCAGCACCCTCCAATCAAATGAGGCGTCCACAGAGGCAAACTTGTCTATTTTGTAGTGTCTTATGAATGGGGAGGGCAAAGCCCACGTCGCCGCCCTACAGATCTTGACAATGGATGCTTGCGTTGCCCAAGCCGCTGATGTTGTAGCACTGTGGGTGGAATGAGCAGTGATGCGGCTAGGAACTGACAAAGAGTGGGATTGGTATGCCTTCCAATGCAAGCCCTGATCCACCTGCCTATGGTTGATGCTAAAACCTTCTGCCCCATGGAAGAGGGCTGAAATGAGATAAATAATGCCTCTGACTTGTGAAAGGCAGAAATCCTCTTGATGTACTGTCAAAGAGCCCTATGCATGTCCAAAGTGTGCCACTGACGCTCAGAGTTGTGAGACGAACGAGGCAAAAGTCCGGTAGTATTACTTCTTGCGACCAATGGACAAGGTGTTTATCTTGGGGACGAATGAGGGATCTAACCGAAGGACCACCCTGTCACTGTGAAAAACGCATAGGTCCTCTCTGGCTGAGAGCGCTGCCAGTTCAGATATGTGCCTGGCTGACGTGATGGCTACTAGAAAGGCTACCTTCATGGACAAGAACCGCAAATCACAGTTCTTAATGGGCTCGAACGGTTGTGTGGTAAGAGCTTGCAAGACCCATGACAGGTCCCACGAGGGGTATCTATGGACCAGAGGATGCTTTGTGTTGGTTGCTCCCTTGATGAAGGAGCGTACCATTGGGTGATGGGCTAAAGAGGATGAATCGTCGCATGACAGCACCGTTGCCAGAACTGCCACCTGCCTTTTGATGGTATTTGGCGATAAGCCTTTGTTGAGCCCCTCCAGCAAATACTCTAGGATTCTAGGGATAATGATGGATGAAATATCAGATTGATTCCTGTTACACCAGAGACAAAAGTTCTTCCAAGTGGAGTCATATATTCTGTTTGTAGAAGGACGTCTGGATGCCTGAATCATGTTGACCACTCTCATTGAATAGAATTCCTGGGTGAGCAGTCGCCGCTCAAGCGCCAGGTGGTTAACTGGAGCCACTGGGGATCCAGAGGTTGAAGAGCTCCCTGACTGAGGGCTATAGGATCTGGAGGGATTTTCCACAGGGAAGAGATGGAAAGGCTCACGAGGTCAGCAAACCACAGTCATCTCAGCCAGTGTGAAGCAACCAGTATGATCTCTGCCCTTTCCTGCAATAGTTTGTGAATGACTGCCGGAAGCAGAGGGAGAGGGGGGAAGATGTATAGAAGATTTTTGGGCCATGGGCTGCGGGGGGCGTCTACTCTCTCTGCCCCCGGAGACAGAAAATGGGAGAAAGACCTTGGGAGCTGGGAATTTGCCAGAGATGTGAACAAGTCCAGTACTGGGTGATCGAACCTGTCTGCTATCTCTGTGAATAGATCGGGATGCAGGCGCCACTCAGAGTGGTCCACCGTTGCCCTGCTTAAGGTGTCTGCCTGCCTGTTTGTCTCTCCCGAGATGTGTTCCACTCTGAGGGAGGAGAGGTTGGCCTCTGCCCAGGAGCACATCAGCTGGGCCTCGGTCATGAGGGACCTGGACCGGTGCCCCCCTGCCGGTTCACATGGGCTTTGGACGCTACATTGTCCGTAAGGACTAGGATGTGCTGTCCTCTCACCTCGTGTTTGAAGTGACGTAAGGCGAGGTGTATGGCTCTGAGCTCCAACCAGTTTATGTTGTGCTTCAGGTCCGGTCGGGACCACCAGCCCTGAGCTAACTGAGATTGAAGATGGCCCCCCCAGCTGAAGAGACTGGCATCGATAGTCAGAGTGAGCCGTGTCGGTTCCTTGAAAAAGGAGCTTCTGGCTACTGCTTGGGAGGTCCACCAGCGAAGAGATTTCAGTGTCTGAGGTGGGACCCTGATTTTCTGGTTGGAGGAGCTGATGCCCCACCTCTGAAAGGGGAGTAAGATCCATTGCAGGGCCCTTGAGTGCAACCTGGCCCACGGTACTATAGAAATGCAAGAGACCATCTTCCCTAGTAATTGGGAAAGGACGCCCAGAGAAACGAACCGGTCTCTTTGGATTTGACGTACTAGATTCTAGATACTTTCCTGGCGCCCTTGTGACAAATAGACCATGCACTGTCTCGTATCTATGACTGCTCCCAAATGGAGGAGATAAGTGGAGGGAGCTATCTGGCTCTTTAGGAAGTTTACAGTGAACCCATGGTCCTGAAGGACTTCGATGGATAGGGTCAAGTCTGACTGGGCTGGCCGAACGGACGTGGACTGGATGACAATGTTGTCCAGGTAGCACTGGACCCGGATCGGAACCAGCCTTAGATGGGTGGCTAGGACTGCCAAGATCTTCGTGAATACTCTCGAAGCGGATGACAGGCCGAACGGTAGGGCCCTGTATTGATAGTGGTGGCCCTTTTAATAGAACCTGAGGAATCTGCGATGTTCAGGAAGGATAGGGACATGTAGATATGCTTCCGTGAGATCGATGGAAGTCAGGAAGTCGTCCCTCCTGATGCTGGCCAGAATAGATTGGAGTGTCTGCATCTTTAATTTCTTATATATCAGGTAGAAATTTAACCTTTTTAGATCGAGTATGGCCCTCCATCCTCCTGAGGCCTTTGGTACCACAAAGAGGATGGAATAGAAGCTCTATGGCCCTTATCTCCAAAAGGTGACGTATAGCCTCATTCATGAGGTCCCTCATGGCTGGAACTCGTGGGGCTGGGCAAGGAATAAATTGATCTGGGGGTCTGAAGAAGAATTCTAGAGACAGACTACACCTGATGGTGTTGAGAACCCAAGTGTCTGTAGTGGTGGCCTCCCCGTTGTGAATAAAGAGAGAAAGCCGGTCACCAATGGGGGGTCCCTCCCTGGAGTCACTT